TTTTTTTTTTTTTTCTTTAATGGACGAAATAGCAACAAATATATATTATTTTCAAGTTCATTTTAAAAGGTGAGAGACACTTATTTACGGCTTGGCTGGGCTTGACTTGAGGTGAATTTGACCCCATAGCTCTTAGGCTTTCTCAAGGGCAGAAGGTTGGTGTGCTGGTAGCAATGCCCCTTGCTGCAGCACAGAGAAGAAAAATATGAAAATTAAGAATATTTTGGTCATGTGATGCCTGTGCTGCCTCCTGTCCTGAAGTTAGTTCACGAGTGCAGATAAATACCTGAGTTTAGGGATTGGTAGCAAATGTTGAAGGTGATTTTGCTGCTGCTCTCATGCTGTAAAATAAGGGAAAAAAGTATTTGCATTAGGGGCCAACTGAAGGCCTAACTGATGGTTTTGAAGTGTTCGTGTGTTTTTTTTTTTTCTTGCAGAAGGCTGCAGAGAAATACAAAGGAACATATATCAAAATATATATTTATTTTATGTTTATATTAAAAAAGAGATTAGCAGTCATAAAGATAACTGAATCAGAACACGTTGCGTTTTTTTCAGCATTTTCGTGGAAGGAAGAACCGCTGTTACAAGCTGGCAGTACGAAGTGTTCGGAGAGCTTTTGTGAAGTCCACGAAGGCCAGAAGAGAGAAGAAGAGATTCCTAAGAGCGGTAAGAGCAAGTGAACAGTAAAAGGGGAGAAGAGCAGAACTGATATATCCATTTTTCCTTGAAAATGGGGGTGATCTCACAATATTTTTTTAAAAACRGCGAGTAGAAAATAGTAGTATGAATTTAGAGGCGAGCATAGTCCCTCTGTGCTATGGCAAAAGTCATATTCTAAAGTTTAGAGGCATGTGTTGTACTGAGAAGATTGTTTTATGTATTAAGTGTAAGCATATCAAGCCAAGTAAAACTTTATTTTAAAATATTTCGTCATCCAAAATTGTACTTTTTATACCTTCAGCTCTGGATCACAAGGATTGAAGCAGCTTCCCTTGAACATGGTTTGAAATACCCAGCTTTTATAAGCAATCTGATTAAGGTAAGTGTGAGGCTTCAAAAAAAAAAGTCTTTGAAGCAAGCTGGACAGAATGTCTGATACTGCTCTTCTACAGTGTCAGGAAAACAGATTTCTTAAAACCCCAAAAACTTCCAGTTTTAGTGATGTTTAGTGTGATACTGCTTATGGCAGGAGTTTCACTTGGTCCAGGAAATAAGGTGTTCTCTAAACCCGTTTCTCTTCCTAATATGCATAATCTCCTTTAATCTTGGGGAATACTGTTGCCCCTTCCTCTTCTCCTCCCCCAGACTTTCCTGCATATTTTTAAAAATGAGGATATTGTTATTTATTCCATAAAGAGATTGTCAGTTAAAGTAATTTCTTGTAAAATAATCTTGTGTTTTTTTGCTACCACAGGTATTGAACAATAGCTCCCTTTTTTTTAGTTGAAGAAACATTAAAAATATGCATGTGGTAGCAGGCAGTCCTCTGACAGAATGGATTTTTTTTTCTGTTCTTTTGTTTTGCTTCAAGGACTTTAACGTAATGGCTTAACGAGGCATCCACGATTGGATTGTCACGTCTCACAGTTTTCTGTTTCAAAATTGTAACACGTAGAAAAAAAGATGATGTTCTAAAATGTGAGATTTTGCACAGGGATACAGCAATTGCAGCAATGTCCTTAGAGATTATTGTGCTCAACTAACAGTTCTCTTTGCCTTTAGTCTCAGGTGGAGCTGAACAGGAAAATGATTGCTGATTTAGCTATTTATGAGCCAAAGACATTCAAGTCCCTAGCTGCTTTAGCCCAGAGAAGGAGACAAGAAGGCTTCCTTGCTGCTCTTGGAGATGGAAAAGAACCAGAGGGGATATTTTCACGTATTGTGCATCACTATTGATAGCAAAATAATTGGTGGATGCGCATTGTAAACAGGAACTGCAGAGGCTGCTGTGAAACTTGTGCCTGTGGAGCAAAATTCTCCAAAGCTGCCTCTAACAAGGAGGGAAGAGGGGGCAAGTCTTAGACAGGAAGCTTGTGTTTCTGTCTTTTTCTTTCTTCCTCCTCCCCGTGTTGTTCTGACTAAAACCCATGGGTTTAAAAATTGCCATCCAAAGTTGGTGGCAAGCCAAGCCTATAGAAGTTACATGTTAATGAGATACACATTATGGATATTTCTTCTGTTAAGGAGTTAATAAAGATTTTTTTTTCCAAGAGTGTTCAAATATATCTGAGGGGTGAACGTTGGTGTTTGCAGCACCCCGGTACAGCTTTGTGCTGTGGTGGGGACAAGCGGCCCCAGACCCCAGCGGGGCTTCAGCCCTGTTTGCAGCAACGGGCCTTGGGGAAGGGCTGCGGGTCGAGGACACGCAGCTCTGACGCGGCCGTTAAACCGGCAATGGCGGCGCCCTCGGGCCGCGCCGGAACTTCCGCTCCGTTCAAATCTCCACCGCTTGCGTCACGGCGCTCTGCTCCGCCGGGGACAGGCGTGAGTCAGAGCCAATGGGCAGGCGGGGCTCCCGTGCCTTCCGCCAATAGGAGGCGCGGGGAGAGGGGAAGGGTGGGTCGGGCGCTGGGGCGCGGGCGGGGCCGCGGAGCCGGGCGAGGCGGTGGCGCTCTCGGCTCCACCAGCACAAAATGGCGGCGGGCGTAGGCAGCGCGGCGGCTGTGGCGGCCATGGCGGGTGGCCCCGCAGCACCTCAGGCCGGCGGGGCCGCGGCCTTGGGAGGTGCGCCGGCAACGGGCAGCGCCGCGGCGGCGCCGGGCCCCGGCGCGGTGCTCATCGGTGACCGCCTCTACTCGGGCGTGTTGATCACACTGGAGAACTGCCTGCTGCCTGAGCACACGCTGCGCTTCACGCCCTCCATGAGCAGCGGCCTCGACCCCGACACCGAGACCGAGTTGCGCGTCACGGGCTGTGAGCTTATCCAGGCGGCCGGCATCCTGCTGCGGCTGCCGCAGGTGGGTCCTGGCCCCGCGAGTCCCGGGGCGGGAGGGCGAGGGCGAAAAAAGGGTCTCGCGGGGACGCCCCCGGGGCTACAGGCGCCTCCGGGGCGGCGAAAATGGAGGCGGCGCTGGGGCCTCGTGCGGGGGGAGGGGAGCGGCTTTGTTCGCGGAGACGGCGCGAGGGGAGCCGCCGTCGTGGGGCCCTCCCGCGTTCCCCGTCGCGCGCGGGGCCCGGAGCGGCCGCCGTTGAGGAGGGGGCGCAGCGGGGGTTCCCCCCGGGGCCGCGATCCCTCCCCCGCCACCCGTCTGGCCGGGGCAGGAAGCGGGTGATGTCACCGCCTTCCTGCGCCGCCCCCGCGGGCCGTGCTTTGTTAAGGCCGCGGGTGGCGAAGGGAGGCTCCAGGGGAGCTCTGTAGTTGTAGCGGCCTCGGAAATGTTTTTATTTCCCCATGAAGTTCAGTTTCACTTGTTTTTGCTGGCGTCTGGGGTGTAAAACTTACCGTAACGTCTCGTAGTACAGCTAAATGGAAAAAATAAATGTAGTCCCCCTTTTTTTTTTCCTTCTTATTTCACTGTCACTTTTTTAGTGTGTTTCTTTAATTCATTTGAAAGAAATTCGGTTTTAAAATCCATACGTTGACCTCGTAAGACATGATTTGGCTTGTTGGTGGTAGTTTTTTTAAAGGGCTTTATTGAGATAGTGATGCCAGTTTTCTTTAGATGACACAGAACTTACTGCCAAGCCTAAGAATAGTTCAATATGGTACTGTTTTCTGGGCCACACAGTGGGGAGTATTTATACTTGCTTTCGATTTCCGTAATGATTTTTCTAGTCCCCGTAAAGTATTTTGCTAGGGAATCATTGCAAATAAACTTGAGGGCAGTCATTCAGCTAATATAAAATGGTATGAGTTTTTTTTCTGGAATGAAAGTATGCAATAACAAAAGCTGTTAGAAATGTTACCCGAGATAGCGATTGCTTATGGCTGAGTGTTGCAGAGCCTTTTTGACTAGTTTTCTGGGTCTTAAATCTTTTGAAGTCATTCTAGATGACTTGTTTGGAACTAGGACAAGCAAACAAGTTGTTTGTTTGTTTGTTTATTTGTTTTTTTAATACCTGTTGTGGTATCTTTGTTTTCAGGTGGCTATGGCTACTGGGCAAGTGCTGTTTCAACGCTTTTTTTATACCAAGTCTTTTGTGAAGCATTCCATGGAGGTAAGAAATTTTACAGATACGCTGAATATTAAAAATTCATATGCTACATATGTGATTAAATCTTTGAACTAGGTGTGATGCAAGCATTCGGTAACCCAGCTGTAAGTTAGAGTTATTGGTGTATATAATCTTACAGAGCTACATAGAAGCAAGTACTGATTTTGCCAAGCTTTGAGTATTTCCTGTTTTTACCACAATTTTCTCTTGTTATCCCTCCTTAAGCTGTTGGAGGCAATCAGCTCCAGATTTGAGCAAAACATCAGTATGTTGCAATACTTATATTTCAGCATGTGTCAATGGCCTGCGTTCATCTGGCATCCAAAATAGAAGAGGCACCGAGGCGCATAAGGGATGTTATTAACGTGTTCCATCGCCTTCGACACATAAGGGAGAAAAAGTAAGCTTAGACTTTGAAGTATTACCTTTTAATGTATTTAAATATAAAACTTTAAAAACTTTAAAATTAAAATGCTAAATCAAATTGCTGTTGTTACCTCCCTTGTAAATCAGAGAATCACTTGAAAAAATCTCTTAAGGGAGAAAAACTTGTTGTCCAGTCTTTCTCAAGTAAATATGTTCTGTGATTTATAACTAATGGCAAAATCTTCATTTTTACTCAAATGCAATTTAACAACATGGGAGACTCATATGCAGCTTAAGAATATCTTATTTGATGGCACTTGAAATTGTCTTACAGAAAACCTGTGCCTCTGATACTGGATCAAGAGTATGTTAACTTGAAGAATCAAATTATTAAGGCAGAAAGAAGAGTCCTAAAGGAGTTGGGATTTTGTGTTCACGTAAAGCATCCTCATAAGGTTTGTACTATATGAGCTAACTTTAAAAAGCAGTTGATGTATGTATCATATGTTCTGCAACAGTTTGAGTAGACCACTTATATCTACAGAAGTTCTGTGATTTGCACCTGACACCACAAAAATAGTAAAACTAGTTTCTTACAGTGTTGATTCTCTTTCTCATTTAAGAGATTCATACTAGTTGGTCTTGTATCGCTGCTGAATGACGACTGGAGATGGATACAGATGTTAAGTGTTCCTTGAAGTCAAATCTACTCGAATGGTTTGCTTTAGAATAAAGCTTGCTTAAGCGGGTAGCCTTGATTAGAAATTTTTTTACGCCGTGGCGTTATGCCAGGTGTCGACCCTTGGGCAGAAAGGGCTTTAGAGCCTCAGAGTTGTAATATTTTTATTAGATAAATAGCCTCTGCCGTGAATATTTTAGAGGTATGCTGAGGATATTAAGCCTATGTGGTGTAGGGGTGTTTCTTCTGTTCTGAAACTTCAGAACAGGGGAAGTGGTTTACCCAAAGAGAGAGAGTTATTCTCAAATTTAGAATGCCAAGCAACAAAGTAGAGTGACACCTCCATACTATAAACATTTAAGGTGATAATTTCTAGTATCATCAGTATTAGCATTAGACCTTAAATAGCTGATAGGATCTAATTGACARTCTTCAGTATCTTTAGAACTTGGGATTTTACTCTTAATTTTTCTAGCAGATACTATTGTCTTAAGGTCTTCAGAGATTACCTGATTTTTTAGTATTTGCTCGGTGCCTCAGAGGAGAGCTGTACTTGTTTGTTAGCTGTTATTATTTGTTTATTTAAGCAGTTTATCTGCGTCCTACTGGGTTGAGTGGGGTAAACATGATGTCTTTCAGTTGTTGCTTTCAAACTGAAATACTCGGGACCGAATAAAAAATGATGCATGCTGCACGCTAGGTCTGTTCTCTGCAAATGCTCTTACTCTTCCATTGTCACATACCACAGCTAGCTGTGTTTTCTTCCACGTTGCAGCTAAAAAGGAACGATGAATTGGGTAGGGGAACATACCTAACTTGAAAACAGTTGGAAAAACAGCCTCCTAGGTGACTGAACTCGGCAGTCAGCAAGCTAGGGAGGTCATGTTTGGCTGTGTGTAACTTGTGCAAGCTTCTGCGCTGGAAGGCAGAAACTATGTGCGCAAATGCTGGGTGTGTTGCAAGCACGTTATTGGAGTCTTAAAACCTGAAAGAGAGTAGCAGAAGCTTCGTGGATATCCCTCTGAATTAAATAGGTGGCTCTCAAGATTCTTGGTAATAACTCAATAACCCGTATCTTCCAGATAATCGTTATGTATCTTCAGGTATTAGAATGTGAACGTAACCAACACCTGGTCCAGACTTCATGGTAAGTTGATGGTTTTTGTATGTGTTTGTGTCTGTTTTAAGAGACCAGCAGGGGCAGTAGCAGAAATATGTCACTTAAGGCTCTCTGGGCTGCATTGCTCAGAAATGATATGGGCCAAACCAGACAGCTACACTCTGTTGCTCGGAGTGCCCCAAACTACTACCCAAATGTTGATGAGCCTCTTAAGTTTGAGGTGCTCGTTATGGTAAGGTTGCTCTCCACCCTGGATTCTCACTTAGCTCTCTCTGCTTCCAGCTGAAGGGAAAATACTGAGTGGGTTTGCAGCATTACTCTTTTTTGGGAGTGGGGGTGCTGGAGTGTGTGATGTTTGTTCTCTGTATAAACTGTTTGTGCAGTTGAAGTCTGTTACCAGTATTTGGGAAAGAAAGTGCCCTCAGTACTTGAGCTCTTTGCTAAAACAATTGTATCAAGAACTTGCAGCGCAGGAAAATTCTTTTTAGCCATGTGGATAATGCAAGATGTCAGCTTCCGAGACTGGAAAAACTTGAGTGTTTGCCAAGACATGTCCTCTACCTTGTTGCTCTCAATACTGTAAAGCTTTTTGGGGGCGGGCAGCTAACATAAAATTCCAGGTCTTGAATTCAACAGATTGATAGAGTTTTTAAACAAAATAAAAGTTTTGTTTAAAAAAAAAAAAATCCAAGCACCATATTTCTGCTGACTGAACTGTCTGGTACTGTGATCTGTGTGTAGAGAACCAGTTTTGACTTTTCTTTTCTGTACTCTTTTAATCAAAGGGTAGCCTCTGAGGGTAAGTGACTAAGACTTCTCCTCTGCTGCCCAAGCGCTATGGTGCAGGGATAGCTGCCGTCTTCAGTCAAACCAAAGCAGGCTCTACAAAGAGAAGGCTGACTCTAGACAGGTGGTATATACATGATAGTATAGTAACTGGCCAACTGCTTCATGTGCTTTTTATACTGTTTCACCTCTTACTGTCTTTTATTTTTTGTTGTGCTTTTTGATGATTGAATTCTTTATAACTTTGTTAAAGTTCTGACAGACATTGACTGTTAAATTCCTATAACTGTTAAAATGGTATCATCTTAGATGATAAATGAAAGCGGGACTTGAGGGGATGAATTAACAAAAGTTGAAATCTAGTTTCTGTTTGTAATTTTTAAGTAACTGAATGGATGTAATGCTTCGAATCAAATGCATCTTTGGTTGGGAGCTTAGAGAAATTTTCACCTATCAGATTTCCCAGTATCATTGTATGGTGGATTCAGATACAAGTTACGGACTATTAGTTGCTAATGTTCTATTTGCTATGAAGAGAAAGATGGATGAGGAGGAGAAAGGAAATAACCCGAATGAGAAATGGTTCAAATGTTTAAAATCAAGTATTTGTGTTCTGATATTTGCTTCCAGTATATGAGAACTGGTGGGTATCCACCATTTTAAAAAATGTTGAAATATTTGTTTTTATTGCATTACCTTCTTTAAATATTGTGACAAGTATTCATTTCCTCATACATCTAGATTCTGAGACCACAGGGAAATTTAGCAGAAGGCAGACATGGGAATAGACAATGTTTAGTGTCCACTTAAGTTAGAAAAAGTCTACGTGACTTTCAGATATTTGGAATATTATTTGGCAAAGCTTTGTGCTCTGTGTGCTGTTTGGCACAACTTTTCTGGTGTAGCAATTGCTTTCTGTATAAACTGGAAAATAATAGAAAATTAGGGCAGATGGGATGAATTTAAAGTTCCTTTTTGTCTTTCCCGTGTAAACTGGATTGAAGTGGACTGTGGTCTCTGTTTTGGATGTCTTGGGGCTTAGTGAATCCTTGTGTACTGGGCACTTGCATGTTCAGTTACCTACTACTTTCAGAATGCTTATTATTTAGAGGTGTATAGGTGGGGTGAGGGAGATTGGGTTTTATTGCTTTTTCTATATGGTATTTTGAAATACGTACTCAGAAACCTAAACCATTTTAAGCACTTCAGCTGACAGATACAGAGGAATATACTTGCTTTGCTTAAGGCTTTATAAGAATAATTTTACTATGTACTGACTGGAATATATGCAATATTTTACAGTTTTCTCATTCTCATGAGAAATTCTCATTCTCATTTCTCATTCTGTGACTATTCATTTTAAGCAACTTTATTGAAATGGGACAATTTGGATACCGTATTTCACATGCCAAAGAAGAGATTTGCCTGAATGCGGAATATTCTTCTGAGTGCATATTCCCGAACATCCCAGTCTCTTCTGTGACACTTTTTTTGCATCACCATGAGTTTGATTCTGGATGGAAAATGGCCTTTTTTGAAGGAAAATGAACACTTTGGAAAACCCTCCCCGTGGAACATGTTGAAGCGGACTGCGTTTTCATGGACAACTACCACAGGATCTGCAGCTTTCAACAAACTACCGAAGTTCAGTCATATTGCAGAGAAATACGTGAAGCTAAAATCCTATAATTGACTACTTCAGCTATATTGTATGTTATATTGAGGGGGAAAAAAATCTCTATTGCATGAGAGCAGGCCAGTAGAGTTTCAGGGGGAAAAGTGAAGTTAAAATTGGTTCTCTTTTCGGAATGGAATTTTCAACAGCCATCCAGTCAGTCAAAGTTCTGTTTCACATTCCTCCACTTGAGGGAATTATTTAGTAAAGTTTTATTCGACTTTTCTTTAGAATTACAGGAGTGTAAGGCTGAAGCTTAGTAGCTGAAGGCAGAGAGAAATAGTCCTTATAGAAGAAAAAGCAGTAGGAAGAAAAAGGCGGTGTCCTGTAGGTCTGTTGATATCTTGTCTTTTAGGAATTACATGAATGACAGCCTGAGAACAGATGTCTTTGTAAGATTCCAGCCGGAAAGCATTGCGTGTGCCTGTATTTACCTCGCAGCCAGGACGCTGGAGGTGAGCATACAGTTCCATGCAATTCAAGTCTGTAAGATCTTAAAAGCAGCAAACTGAGTGGGTTATCCCTTCCCTTTTAGATTCCACTTCCTAATCGCCCACATTGGTTTCTACTCTTTGGTGCAACAGAAGAAGAGATTCAAGAAATCTGTTTAAAAATTTTGCAACTTTATACTCGGAAGAAGGTTGGTTTTCTCCTGTTATGAGCCCCAGACTGTGACTTTGAATGGGAGTCAGAAATCCCTACTCCATTTGAAGCCAGCTACAAGCCTGGTAGAGTAGTGGAGTGGCATATAAGTCACAGGGTTGGGGTCTCTCTTTTTTTTTTTTAATGAGGCTATAGAAAGTCCGGTTTGCAAGACTTGATTGTGAGCAGTGTTCATTTCTTTGAAGGTTGAGTTAATTGATCTGGAAAGTAAAGTAGAAAAAAAGAAACTAGCAATTGAAGAGGCAAAAGCACAAGCTAAAGGTCTGCTACCCGAGGGAACCCCCGGCTTGGATAATACATCAGGATTTTCCCCTGTACCAAAAAACGGTAAGTTCTAGGTGCCTGAATACTCCTTGTCTTGCAGGCCTCTTCTAGTCTTTATTATGATGATTCATCCACTATTTATCCTGCAAATCAAGGTAACAGACTTTTTTTTTTCTTTTTCCTCTTAGAGTCTCCAAAAGAAATTAAAGGAAATAAACCCTCACCACTACCTGTGCAGGCAATGAAGAATGCTAAAAGAAAAAATGAGGGAGCAAAAAGAACAAGTTCAAATAGTCCAGTAAATGGGTAAGTCTTACATAATGAAAACTTTTTTTTTCCCCCATAGTATTTTAAGCGAAATAGATTATTAGTTTATTATGCCTTGCAGTGTTCAGAAAGGAAGAGAAAGTAGAAGTCGAAGTGGAAGTAGAGATCAGAGTTATTCGAGGTCGCCATCCAGGTCTGCATCCCCTAAGCACAGGTACGTGCTGTTGTCAAAAGAAGGGCATTCTGTGAGAACATCCCAGATTTCCATGCTACATAATACTGTTCCAAGAATAAGAGTTCTACCGTTTTAGCTAACATGTTCAGGTGGTTGCAGTGTGTTTGATAATGCCTTATCTGTGCAAACTGCACTGAAAAATGAGTGTAATACTGGGGCATTTTTGAACTGCGGCTTGTTTATTGCTGCTGTATTGCCTAAGAAACAGGCTTTCAACTTTGTATCTTTATGTTTCTGCTTCATACTTAAAGCTGGGCTTCTGTGGCTGCAGCCATAAAATGTGAGAGCTGGGTGAAGGTAATGTGAATGCTAGTAACGAGAGTTGGGAGATGAAGTTAATAGTGATGTAGAGCAATCTGCTTCATCAGAAATTCTTCTCAGAAAAATCATGTAGGCTTTCTCCTGTACTCCTTTACTGTAGGAAAAGTGAAAGTTACTCCACTTCAAGCGGTTCCAAATCCCACAGCCGCTCTAGGAGTCGCAGCGACTCTCCTCCAAGGCAATTCAACCACACGTCTGGTTACAAAGGTTCTAAGGTGAGAAGTTACAAGAAGTCAAAAGACTACAAATACTCAACACACAAACCAAGGAAATCCCGCAGTAGAAGTTCGTCACGTTCCAGGAGCCGGTCCCGGGAGCGCCCTGACCATTCAGGAAAGTACAAGAAGAAAAGTCACTACTACAGAAATCACCGGCACGAGCGTTCGCGCTCCTATGAGCGAACTGGTCATCGCTATGACCGAGACCACCCTGGCCACAGCAGGCACAGGCGATGAGTAGGACAAAGAGCTCTTCCCTTTGGAATTCAGGGGAGCTCTTTCCTCTGTGTGATCTTTACAGCTTAGGGTTAATCTGGTTTATAAACCACTTTAGCTTCGGTGATGTCCATTTGGCTGCTAATTCTGTACTTTAATCCAAAGGAAATATGTGAATGGGATAGGATGATGTGGAAGACTTAATCTGATGATGTTGCTGTCTGCTGGAGTGCCATCCAGTAATGCTGCAGAGTTTGCCCCGGGTGTGCTCCCGTTGCCTGCTTTTTAGTAATTTAAATCCTGTAGCGCAAGGGAGTGTTACTTGGAATTGGCAGCCCTGCAAGCAGGGAACTTCGTTGCTCGGTAGATGATGGACTGTGATGAACAGTCCTCCCCTGTGGAACTAGAAGGCTCGAGACAGTTCCTCAGAACCATTGGAGTGTCTTGGTGCTAACAAAGCTGTCTTTTCATACTGATTCGACTATGTTGTACAAATGTAAGGTGACTTTTTTTTAGAATTATGCCTATATTAGGTTATATATGTGTATATATATTTTGCAGTGTTACAGTATAGTATGGGAATATGGCCTTACTAGCCTTTACACTTTATTCACAATGTAAATAAGCATTTGTTTAATACAAGTGAAAGATATATACAGAAAATTCAAAACTTGAATTCTATCAAAGACTTGTGTAGAAAGTTCTGATAAATGTGAAAGTATTTAGCTCTGTGTATTGAAAGTAGTATATTTTTTATCCGTGCAATGCTGTGTGCGGGTCACCAGCTCACAATAGACATTTCCTATATATACATTCTATGTGGTTTGAAATTCTTTACTCAGGATCTTTGACACTCTGGAGTAATAGTTTGTCAGTCTTGCTCGTTGAGGAATAGAACATGTTTAAAAACAAAATGGGGAAAAAAAAAAAAACAACCCAGCCCAGTAGTATCAGTTCTAATGGTATAATCTGAGCTGTTGTTCTCATGCGCCCTAATTTCATTAAAGTATTTGATTTTTATATTATATTTACTTGATAGTTTCTCATGAGCTATATATACACCACAGTGCCTCATAAGGAAAGAAGAAATCTGGGTTTGAATGAAGAGACAACAGATCATAGTTCATTTATTTTCAACTTTAACATGTGATACCCTGAGCAGGGTGTATGTCTTGCTGGAGGAGAATATGAATGCAATGTGTGAAATTTGTGCTTTTATTTAAGTTTGCTGTCATAGCTTATAGGACTTGACTAAAAACATTGACTGCTGGGTTAGTGCCCCTTGTCACCCAGGTGAGATTGATTGGTGGCTTGCAGTGGTCGATGCACACCACAAGGCATCCCGAGCCATCTAAGAGCATCCCAAGCTCTTAGATGCCTCAGGACGACTGTGAGAGGTAACATTCATCTGTGAGGCTTGAACTCAGACACTTTTCAACTATTTCTGCTAACTGGCTTTTCTCAGCTGTGATGTACTTGGGAGAGCCAGCAGATAGATGGGAAGTTGGGTAGGGCAAAAAGATGCTTGCATGGAGTTGGGGTGAGTGGTTTTTAACTGGACTAGTTGCATCTTTTAATCTGTTTCCCAAACTGGCAAACCCTGAAGAATTTAGCTCTACCCCAAGTGCTTTTAATGCAAACTGAAGTGAGAGTCTTCTGTGGGATGTCTCTCTTTCGATTCTTTTGATTTTTTCCACCTTGCACTAGAGCAGGTTGACCGCGTAAGGAGCTGCCTGGTCATTTGGTTCTGAGAGACTCCGTGTCTCCCTCTTTAATTACTGTGTTTTGGCATTAAATTATGTCTGCCCCTTGCCCAGGTGCAAGGCAACATAATTCACAATAAAAAAAAAAAAACATGGTGGAAGGACGGAGCGCCCCCACCGCCCCCTCGTGTCCCCTCTGGTCGCTTTTGTCGTAAACCGGCGTGTTTCGAAGCGTTTTCCCGGGCGGCTCTTCAGGCTCCGCGGCTGCGGCGGGTGCCGCCAGGGGGCGCGGTGGGGGCGGTGCAGGCGGCGGGCGGAAGTTCCGGCGCGCGGGCGGCGGCGGGCGGGGATGGTGAGTGATGATGGCGGAGGCCGCGGCCCGGGGTAGGAGCCGCGATCGGGCCTCGGGAGCGCCTCGAGTGCGGGCGGCCGCCCGGCCGCGCCAAGCGCGGTTACGACACCGTTAGGCCGCGCTGCGCTCCCGGGGGAAGCGCCCGTTGCTTGGGGGGGGGGGAGGGACCGCGGCTTGGGTCTGGACTTGCCTTATTTATGTACTCAAAACAGCAGAAACCCCCTTAAATCTGCCCTGAAAGGCGGCAAGGGGGCGGTAAGGATGTGTGGACCTGGCCTCTCAGCAGAATAGCACCCTGTTTTGGTCAAAAAATGGTGTTTGGAGGAGCTGAGCCCATCTGCCATAGGTTTTAAATCTGGAAGATGCATTTTGGGGTGTCAGGGTAGCATGTTTGCCYTATGGAATAAATGTACTTATTTTAACACAGTCACTGCTGAATCTGGAGGAGCGCATCAGGTGAAAAAATATGTTAGTAGCACGTCTGGCTTCCCAGTTAGTGAAGGCTTCACAGACTACAGGTAAAGGGTTATTGTGCAACTTTATTGTTTTTATGGAGAAAAAATAATTGCTTGTAAGCAGCTTCTGTATTAGACTATATATATATTAGAGGCTATAGTGGGTGGTTTGGGAATGGAGCAGGGCACGTATTGAAATAAATTTAAATTCTGAAAATTCTGCCTTTTAAATGAAGCTCTCTTCTTCTCCAAGGACACCTCTGGCCAAGGTCAGTGTCTTCCATTCTTTATTCTCATTCTGCATTTACCAAGTATAGCACTCAGCCCTCTAACAAAAATGGAGCTCAGCCTCAGCAGTGGCATGTGCAGGACCCTGACCTGGAAGAGATGCTGGTTCCTAGAAAGCTTTCCATCAGTCCCTTGGAAAGCTGGCTGACAGTTAGATACTTGCTTCCGAAAGCAGAAATAGTCAATATTCAGGAAAAAGTAGGCGATGAACCTGTGCAACAATATGACTGCCCAGCAGCTGATGTGGGAGCTAAGATGGAAGAAGGGGAAGGAGCAGTTGGCAACCAACTCGAATGTAAGAATGTTCTGAAGATCCGCAGGAGGAAAATGAACCGGCACAAGTATAAAAAGCTGCTAAAGCGGCGAAAGTTTGTGCGAAGGAGGATAAAGGAAGGCCGCAAGAAGAAACGTCAGGTAAGCTTGAATTAAAAAGAAATGGGTAAATTTGCCCACTTAATTTTTGCTTTACAAACTGCTCTCTCTTTCCTTTAGGAATGGGAGGAAAATTTCAGGTAAACTTGTTTTAGGGGAAAACAGCAGCAGCTCTGAGAGCTCTGAGCTCTCCAGTGTTTACTGGCGTGTTTTTCTAATTTATTTGATCCAAATATCTTCAGAAATTAGAATATTTCTGTGCTTGTAAAAAGACATGTGTGGTATTAGCTGTGTGCAATTTTTCTTATATAAAAGTGACTTTTAATAAGAGGCTAACAAAATAATTTTTCACATGTGTAAATCACTGATTCATCAACTTCCAATATACCTGGGAGGCTGTTTTAGTTTCCTTCCTGTCTTGTCAACATCCTTGAGTGGTTCCACAGAGCTGCTGGAGAGAGAATATCGTATTTCTTCTTCCATCTAGAAACTACTCACATTTCCTAGTAGAGGGGAGTAGGCAAAGACGTGGGCTCAAGATCCTCATGTGTTTCAGATGTATTTTCCTCAGTGGGGCTAACTGTATTTTGACAAGTAGAACAAGCTGCCTAGTTTTAAAAACTACAGATTATGTTTGGATTATACAGGTAGTTTGGACTGCTTTAGCAGTGCCTAAATGATGTACTCTTGCTTCTAACTTATTTTTTCTTCTTGCTCTGTTTCAGGTGAAGTTTGAGAAAGATTTGCAGCGCATCTGGAAAAGAGCTGGTTTGAAAAACCCTCCTGCAGGATGGCAAACACCCAAGATATTTTTGAAAAGTTCAAAGCGATAAAAATGCTTGTAATGAGTTTTGACCTATAATTTTAATTAAAAAATATTTATGCAGACTTCTTTCAACCTTTTCTTCTGAATGTAGTGAGATTAGTAGGAGATCACTTTTTATCTTTGGTAAACAGTTTTCTGGGGGAAAACTTGGTGTGGATGTGCACTTCTCCCTCAGAAAAGTATTTTGAGCAGTTATTTGCTGTGTGCAGTCTTGTGCTGCTTTCCGTGTCTTGGAGCACATAAATCTTCTGGACTGTAGCTGAATTTCTGAAGGTGCTATTAAAGGTTAGACTGGATGATATATGATTAAAAACAACAGGCTGTGGGAGGTGAAATATGAAGTGAAAGAAGTCTTCTGATTGTGTAACTATATAAAACTCCAGCAATTAAATTATGTTTAAGGTGACCACATTATTTTATAGTATTATGAAATACATGCATACTATAGAAAGTCTGCTACTTTTAATGAAGAGTTAATTGGAGAAAGTTTGTTGAAAGGCTTACTATTCACTAAAAACAAAAACTGTATTTTGTCAGAGATTGCCCTCTTGTAAATGGTTGTTTTTGCATGGTAGAAGAAAGTAACAAAAGCTGTGAAAATTATGGATATTTATCTTAAACCGTGACATAAAAGCTTCCTATCTGAGTTTTAGGTTCTGCTTTGATTTTCTATTGGAGGTTGTTAACTTAGGAACTAAAGCATTCCTATATGTGTGTCAATAGATAAACATGGGGTGGACTTATCTTGAAAAGAAGGGAAAAAGTAAGATTTCTTAGGTTTATTCTGCAGCAGGAGAGCTAAGCTCAAAAGTATGTTTCTTTTATCTGCTAGGAGCAGAATGATTGACTGAACTGAAAAGGAGGAGAGAGGAAAAAAAAAAAAAGGAAAGCAAGCTGTGGAACTCTCATAGCTGCAAGGTGCAGTTTCATCTAGCTGCAGGAAAGACAGGTGACTGATAACATGTAATATAGTGAACATTTTTGAGATTCTGTGTAATGCTTTCTGATGTAGCTTGCAGAAGCCCCTTTAAAATAAGCATTTTTGGATGATGGGCATGGTAGCTTAGTCTATCCTTTTGTTGTCATCTCTGCAACCAGAAAATATCTACTGCTCTGTTGGTAGATGGCAGTAAAGACACAACCTCTGAAACTCCTTTGGAGCAGTTGCAGAAGCTCTCTGGATTTTTCTGTAGCTGTTTTAAGGGCAATGTACACCAAGCTTGAAAAATGCATTAATATGGCCAGAGAACTGTGGTGGAATCCTGTAGAAACATGTCAAAGTCCCGAGGTTTCTTCTTCCCGAAGTACAAGCTTCTCCTGTGTAAGCTATCTTATTAAATGGTATGCTTTCTAAATAGTAATCCAGCCCTCTAAATAGTAATGTGCAAAGTGTAGTCATTATTTTTAATGACTATCTAATTCCACAGACATCTATGGAAATCTGGAAAAAAGAGTATAATTTACAAGTGGCTTTGCAAATGAGCCCTAGGAGTTTACAGTTACATTCCAGTGACCAGCCTTACTCATCTGAATGCCATGTTGCTGAAGTATCTCCAAGAATGACATTTTAGGACTTACGTTTTCTCTCTGTAGTAGATACTGCAAAGGCTCTTTATCTTACATGTCAGTAACCAGGTAAGATACAAGGTTCCATAAACTTGCTTTAATTCTTGACCAAGGGATGCATTTTTCTACTCTTTGTTGCCTTTCTTTTTCACTTTGATGAGTAAGGAGAATGAGAGAAGAAAAATGGTGTCTATTTGGCTGTAAGGGGAGCATTAGTACATAATATTCAACATATATATGAAGCTTTATTATGTCTTGCTCTTCCTTCCAAAAATATACATATATCAGTCTACCTGTAAGTTTAATACATTCACACAAATATGTGCATATATAGTTATAGCAAAAAGTACTCTAAATAGGAAAGATTTGATTTTTATCATTCTAGAAATATTTAAGGCTTGAAGATTTCTCTGTCTCTCCCTGTTATTTTGCTGTCCTGAAAGGAAATGGTTGAACATCAGCAGGAGGATGTTCAGTAATTTTTGCTCATTATCACAGAGATCGGACTGTGATATATATTTGAAATTGTGCCCAACTGCTGTGGCTGCAGAAAGATTCCTCAAAACTGGAACCTTTCAAGGAACTCTACGGCATTGCTCCTGCTATTACTGAATGTGCTTTTTATAAGAACTGTTAAAAACCTCAGGAGCAATATTACCCTGTAATTCCCCAAAAGAAACAATGCATCATCTTATGCATTTATCATCTTCACTTGTCTGATAATCAGGTCTTTGTGCCGTTCAGGTGGATCTTGTGCTGATGGGGTGTCACTGTTTGATGTGTCTTAGTCTGGAGAGGATTTAGCCCCCGGGGAGTGTCTCAGCATTTGGGGTCTGAAACTGCTCACAGATTCATTGCTGTTAAGCCAGGAGTGCTGAGTTCTGAGCTGGCACATAGGCTGAAAAGTAATAACTTGGCATTCTTAAGGTTTATTTTAAAGGAATTAGCAAATCACAGCAAGATGCTTCTGGGTGAGCTCAGTGACCAGCCAGTGAGGAACTAGTTAAGTTTGAAGAATAAGCAGTTGTTGAAGACTGTGCCAAAGAAATAACAGTAAAAGGGGCTGGAATTGTTATGGTCAGCAGTGTGATGTGTTGACAGCCCTGTGTTAGTCACCAGCTCCGCACCCTGGGCACTATGGAGTCGGAGTCGTTTCCTTTACTGACAAAAAGGTTTTCGCTGCTCTGAGCAGCGAGGGAGCCACTGATGGGACCTCAGTCTGGCGCGTGTTCACCACCGGAGTCACCATGTATGTCCTGGCAGCGGAAGCTGTGACTGTTCACGAGCATCTTCCCCCAGGCTTTGTGGGCCTCAATTTGGCTTCCCGGCTCATTTTGACTGTTTCCGTTATTATCCAGAAAGTGTTTCTACAAAGGATCTTTTTTATTGCTTCCTATACAGAGGACTGAATGGTCATCCTCCAGAAAACCCTAAATGTCTAGTTTTTCTGTCTTTTTTTTTTTGCAATGTGAGAGAATGACCCACATGTCAGTTTTATTTTTGGCATCCTGCCATCTGTAAGACACTTTGTTGTTGGCCATCAGAAGGTAGGACAGAGCTAATTGTGTCCTACTTTCTGATAACGCTATGTATTTGTTGGGAAGAGGAGAGAGCTGTATCTCTCAAAGAGAGGAAAGCTTCCCTTTGTGAGGAATTTATGCAGAGACTTGATATTGTAATTTTTCTGCCTGATTTCGACATCCTAATGTCCATGTGCTGGATGCAACACTCTGCTTGAGAGATTTCTAATTGAAATTGGACTGGGGATTGGAAAGGAGAGCAAAAAAAAAAAAAAAATTACAAATGTAGTTTTTGATGAAGCAGCGGTTTAGGATATTAATGTACTACTAACCTGACATGCAGCTGATCTAAGTTGCGTTTATAGGCAAAAATGTTCTTGGAGCATTTAGTTTCTAGAGGAGGCCAAGGCAACGGTGCTCTGTTTCCTTCACATAAAGGTGAGGATGTCTGGGTCCTCCAAAGGCTGCATCTAAAGCAAATACACAGTTCACACATGGGTTCAGTGTGGGGTTTTAAACATTGGCCAAACCCCACGTTTGTGTGTCTAAATTCAGTAGCGAGCTAATATTGTTCTGTGGAAGGCAACCTCCTTTCAGATGGAGTATTTTTATTTTAAACAGGGGCATGAAAAACTAAGGTAATAAAACTAAGGTAAATAAAACTTTCGGCACAATTTGCAGAGCTAAGCTAATAATTTTTCTACTCTTTCGTAGTCATTTCTGATCTCAAAATAAGATGCAGTGCCTGGAATGCCACTGGTTAATTTTTTTTGGCAGGCCCCAGATATGAACCGCAATTACTGTGGGCAATGGAGTCCCCCCTTCAAAAGCCCTCTGTACCAGACCCTTGTTCCCATGTAGAGAGAGACCTAAAGATGTGGTTTGAGGCACAAAGCTGATGGTCAGAAGTGGCCTCCTAAGTGGCATCTCTCAGTTGATGTCGTCTCTATGAGCACTTGCAGGGTTTACTAGTTCTCTGCAGAAACACGGTGCTGTTTTCTTGTGGTTTGGGTCTTTTCAAGGTTGAAGGAATGTGACTTGGTGCTGCCTGCGTGGGTGACTGTCTGCTGGAGAGTCCCTTTGTGGAGAAATGCCCTGGTGAGATGCTGCGCTGGCACTAAACCAGGGCTGCTCTTGGGCACAGTTTTTAATTTGGCTCTAGCATGGGAGTTTAGCAGGTAGCTATTTTGAGGCGCACAAAAATAAGGAGTTGGACAGGGCAGTTGCAATTACGGAGGCAAAGCCTGTTGATGTAAATGTGGATCTTCTCCCTGGTTTCAAAGCTGAGATGAAGAAGAGTGTGCAAAACAGTCGCTCCCTTACGCCAGAGTGCTGCTTAAGTGAAAGATGGGATGCAGGCTTGTTCGTTTGGTGCCTCTCTTTAGCCTGTGTCCTGTTTTATTTATTAATTAATTTATTTATTTTTCCCTGGAACTTAGAAACTTTTGCAGCTTTATCCAGATCACCTACTAACAGACAGGAGTAGCAAGGTGGAATGTCACAGTTCTGAGCTGTTGCTTTCTCATTCCTTTAGACAAACACGTTGGCTGAGTGAAAGTTCTCAGAGGTGACCTGATCCCTCTGTCATTTCTTCCCTGTCTTAGTGCAGTCTCCCGTCTGCTGAACTGGACCAGGACTAAGTCTCTGTTCCCTGGAGGGGGAAATGGTGGCTTCGGTGTAGGTTTGGAAAAGCCAAGAATCACAGAACTGCTGCTCTTGGGGGAGTGAGTCAGTCCATCCCGTGTCATAGATTGCCTGTCTGTCTCCTGCACTTGATATTCAGAAGTTAATTTAGGGAGTCTCATTAGACTGTACAGATGGCTAATTTTGGAGGCGCCCAGATCCAGTCAGAGGCTTTTCAGGAGCCCTCGAAAAATCTGCCTGCTTTGCAGCAATGTACAATTGCTGGGGACCTTAGAGGGAGATTAATGTTCAATTCCTTCCTTCTTTAATATAAATACGTAGAGCCCACTCCCAGAGTCACGACAAATGGTAGCTCCAATTTTCAGATAGTGCCTACTGCGATTCTGAGCCTGATATCTGCTTTTTTAAATTCTGAGTGTTGATAGCACTGCTGGCTTGCTCTCTGGTTGGGAGATAGTTAAGTATTTTAAAAGGAAAAAAGCTGTGTATTTTTTTTTTCCACTATTGTCTCCTGAAAAGAAGCAGGAGGCAATGACTGTTGCTTTTCCTAAGGAGTTTGGATTCTGGAAAAATCTGAGAGGCATGAGGAGTGCAACAGCCACTTTCAAGTTAAAAATCATGGTTGTGACTAATGTATCTTGTCTCTGAGTTCCACGTGTCATCAAAGCTTTCCAGAGCTGAAAGACGGGAAGAGGTTTTGTCCAGCTTTATCCTTCGGTTGGCTTCCTTGGCAGTGCTGGCAGTTGATGCGTGTGAGTCCTCGCCTCCTGAGCAGACTGAGGCAGCAGTCAAGGATTAATGTGCTGCTAGGCTGCCATGCAGCTGGTCTGAGTTGTGTTCTGCATTCTGCCGCTGATCTGCTGTGTGATCTTCCGTGAGTCATTTCCTCTTGTGTTGCATGTCTCACTGCTGCTCCTGTCCGTTTGCCTTCTCCTTCCAGGAGCTGCCTGAGGAGAGTTTGCTTCTCTGGAGCATCTGAACACTGCTATGATGCCACCAGAAAAAAATGACCCTTGCCAAGAGGAATAAGGGCTGCTTTCCATCAGAAAGTGGGCTTAAATATCGTATCATTCAAAGGTGCTGGGTGACAGGAAGCAATGAGCTGTAGAGATGCTTTATGGCCAAAGATGCAGATAGGGCTCCTTACACCTTACAAGGACAGAAGTATTGGAAGAGCTCATACGTGCACACATGTGCACAAATCGTTTGACTAAGTCTGCTTGGGTGTTGCAGGTCCCACGTTGTGCATATCTTGGTCTTTGCTAGGAAAATTGCAAAGCTCAGTGCGTTGAGCAGAAGATAAAAAAATGTCTTAAGGTTCCATCTAGCTAAATATTGTAAGTCCTTAAGCAGTTTTATTATTACTTGATATGCACGCATCGCATCTATGAATTTATCCTTAATTTTGGCACGTAGGGGAGTACAAGGGGAAACAAGGGGGATAAAAAGAAAATGGGGAGCAGAAAACCACCTGATGTGACCAGCTCCTCAACTTGTCCGAGTATGCCCTTCAGAAAAGGGATATTGGTGTTTAACACTTACAGCTAGGGAGCACGGGAGAAAACATTGTAACATCGGGTCTGCTGTTGCATCACTAGAATAATGACACACTTCACTTGATGACCCTGTTATTGCAGTTGGTTTTCAGCTTTGCCTTTTTAGTTCCCAGCTCTTGCTGCAAGTTAACCAATTTCATGCATGTTTATGGGATTCGTTGGAGCTGAAAGCTTTATTTTAATGAGAAAAGCTTTGCAACCAAATGAAGCCTCCTGAGAAACCTGGACCCTCTGGGTAATTCACATCAATCTGTGTTACACTGTTCTCTTCCATCAGCAAAAACAGCAGTAAGGGCTCCTTCCRCTCACAGCAGGCCTTTCTCAGAAAAGGGGAGTGAATATAGATGTGTATCCATCCTGCTGAAACTCATATTTAGGACACAGCAAGGGTTGTTTAACCAGTTCCTGCTGAAGGAGAGATGGTGTCAGTGAGTTGCAGTTTTCCTGCCTTTCCCTCTTTTGCTGTTCCATGCAGAGCTCTGTTTATGCTCTTGGTTTGGCTTTTGCAAGATGCTTTTGCCATTCTCTGTCAGCACCCTTCATTCCAAGCTGTAATATTCCCTGCTCCTTTGCAGTTTTATGGATTATGCTTGTTCCTGTTCATGTGCAGATATTTTCTCCTTGCCGTTGATCATGGCAGATTATGAGGGTTCCTGTATTTAGAGAACATCCAAGTAAGTTGTCAATGATATAAACGGGGAACATTGATAGATCTTCTGCCCATGGCCTCGTGCTGGAATTTGTGTCTTCATGTCAACACGGTGCTAATTCTGTCATTCCTTGTTAATACTTTGCATTTGTTATACCTTTGTAAAGGAGGCAGAAAACAGAGGTGCGGGGTACCTGTTTACATCACACCTTTTTTCTTGTCTAATATTTACTTAATTTTCTAGATTAGTCATCTTCAATCTACATTTATTAGGAGGTCTTCCAGTGTGGTCTACAGCCATAGAAATGGAAAATGCTGCAATGGAAGTGAGCAAGGAGAACAAATTTCCCGACAGATGTCGCTTGTGGCATATCGTTTCCCACAAGCCGATTAATCTTGGGACCCCGTGTTGTCCTTTGGCAGGGATTTTTCTTTTTCCTACTTGCCAGCACTTCCAGCTGAACTAGAGTTGATTCGGGCAACAGAAGTGTCTGTCTTCTCCCTGCCAACCTGAGCTATGTTGAGGACAACAGGTGAAAATTAAAGAACAACTTGTTTTGGTGCTGGTGGTTACCTTCCTTTGCATGGAGAAAGTCACATTTTTGGACTGGCATTGTGGTCAGGGCAGGCAGTTAAAGGAGGATTCTTTTTGAGAGTCAGGACCCAAACTGCTGTTGGAAAGGAGAAGAGAGAATGGCCGAGGAACGTGGCTCAGGCTGGACTGGGAATGAAAAGTGAGGGAAGGGCAAGGATCTGTGAAATTCTCTCTTGTGTCCCTATCCTTCTCCTACCGTGGGGAAGCTCCTCCTCTCTCCTCCCACTGGGTTGTTTTCCTTAGGAGGCGGCAGCAGTTTGCTCTGGCCTTGACTTCCCTCAGCCAGGAAGTAGCCGATTCGTGACAGCAGCGACCACAGCAACTGCCTCCRTCCGGGAGGCTGGGCAAGAAACGGCCAGTAACCTCTGCAGCGCCAAAGCGAGGTGGCAGAAAGGCAGAATCTGGAAGCTTCAGCTTGTGTTTGAGTGCAAACAAGGCAACAGGAGGGTGTATTTGCTGCCCGCACAGTGGGAGCAGCTCCGGGCCTCCCAGGCAAACACTTCCCAGCCTGGAGAGGTTGCTGACTAAGAGGTTCTCGTGTCAGAGCCTCTTATCCAGTTCCCTGGGCAGACAGAGGCAACAGGAAAGGCTCCTTCTTCCATTGCACTTGTGTCTCAGTAGCAGCTCAGCACATCAGTTGCTGTAGAAATGTTTGCTCCCATACATACAGAAATGATCTGAGGTTCTGGCAAAAAGCCTTCAGTTTAGGGACGTGAACTGTCCTTATGCACTTGTGTGCATAACCACAAGTTGTTATGGATACACAAGTGGTTATGGATAATGCAAATATCCAGGCTTGCATTTCCTATGATAGAGTTGCAAATGGACTGAAAGTGTGAACGGATGGACATAGCATAGCTGCTGAGTGTGGGAACCTGGACTGTGAATGATGCGGTTCTAATTACCCACAACCTTCCTTCTCCACCTAGTTTAAGTGACAGATTTGAGATTTGCAGTGAGACTTCATGAGGCTTTTATTTGAAGATGATCTTAGAAGTTTTTCTGGAAACAAAGCCAGCACTGGCCTAGATCTGCCCAAGGCAACATGAAGACTTGCTAGGGTTAACAGCAGGCTGTGTGCGTGGTCAGATTATTTACTAAGAATAGCTCAAATTTCTTTGAGTTTGTTTGGAAGCATCTGGTCCTGTCTGCTGCCGGAGACAGGAGCTTGGGCTAGATGAACTTCTGGTCTGACTTAGTCCATTTCCAGGCTAAATGTGCTTGCTTAAGTTTGTGTTATAATCTCTCTTCATATCACCTACCTCCCTGAAATACAGCCCCTTTTAGGCTAGAATATCTCTCTCCTCTAGTGTACTGGATGATACGGAAAAGCGGCAAGGGAAAAAAATCTAGTGGACTGTCAAGTTTCTTGCCTTATTCCATGGGATCTTCCTGGCTGTGCAGTTTGGGTGTTTTGTTGCTTAAGGTTTGGGTGTCTCCCCCCTGTATAAGGATACCTTCTTTTCTCCTTTGGGTTGGTAGCGAGAGCTTTATATTGTATTAAAAGCGTATCACAAGTGGAGAAAATTGTCAGACTCACAGTAGACGCACAGAAAAGTCTCAACTCACTTTGCAGAGTTCAGGGGTTTCAGATATGGGCCTTACTTTTGACTCCTTCCCTTCCCTTTTAGGGAGAGCTTCCATGGAATTCCACTTGGCTGTTTCTAGTTCTCCAGTACCTGACCTCTGCAAAACAACCTTCTGCAGGATAAAGCTCCTGGCATAGCTCAACCCTCATATGAGAGCTTGAAAACAAAGTTCTAAGCTCAGCTCAGCTTTCTGTATTTCAGCCTCTTAATATGGGAAGCTGTACCCAACTTCGCAGTGTTTGGAGGGTCTATGTGCTGGTTTCTTTTGTCCACGCTGCCCTAAGCTCATGCATATTTAGCTCTTTGCCGTGATCATTCTTTTGCTGGGATAGTTATTACTGGGGTTTTGCTTACAAATCACAGTCCAGGGTGCAAGCCTTGTTTTCTAAGTTCTTTTGAGACTTGAGCTTAAAGTAAAACCATATGAGGAGACAAAGATCAAAAAAACACTGAAGGCAAGAGAGTAAATCCAGTTTCAGGCAGACAACTGGATGAGTGTCAAACAAAGGAAGGAACAGCTGGATCAAGTAAAACACAAGCAAAATTAGTTCCATCCCCAGAGGAGGAGAAAGATTGTTTCTAGAGCCCAGAGCTGAACAGGACTAACTTAACCCAATAAAATTCGTACATCAAAGTCGGGGCAGAGCAGAAGTTCCCAGAGGGACGAGTGTGTTTGGAGTAATTGTGCAGAGAGTGGTAGGGAAAGGAAGGAGGTGGAGTGTGAGTAGAGGAGGGCGGGCGGCAGAGAGGGGAGGTTGGGACTCGGAGGTGGAGTAATTCTGCAGAATATGAGCTGCTGTCACAGCTTTCTGGCTGCAAATTGATGAGATCATAGTGTTTTCAAGTTACAGAAAAAAAAAAGTATTTGACTTGTTTTTCAAGGGAGGCAAAAACACGGAGAGGCTGAAGAAATGGAGCAACTAGGAAAACTCCTCCTGTGGCAGCTCCTGCTCCAGCAAAGTAAGCTCCTAGCTGGTTGTCATCCTGTTGTTTGTCTTTATTTCACCTGCAAAGGACAAGGATGAAGGTTATCTGGGAGGCTTTGAACTGTCGTCTTTGCAATGTTTTATTCAGATTCCTAAATTAGCCGCGTTTTGGTCTGTGAGTAGAGGAAATGTTGGGTTTCTTCTGCCTTTTGGAGAGGGAGGGAGAGAAGAGGAATGTTTGGGGACTCTCTTCAGCATGCTTGGACTTTTATTATCTGTCGTTTACCTTGCTCAGTAGATTCAAAAAACAGTGATGGGAACTGAGTGGGAGTGCAATAAAGCTTGGGTACTGTTAGATTTATGTGATCCAAGATTGCTTGGGACTTTTGAGGAGGCAGAAATGGACGGTTGATAACTGAGGGTGTTCAGGGTGGAGGGAAACAACAGGGTTCTGTGCTGTCAGCATAAAGACAGTAGTTCTTGTGAAGGTTGGGTGCTGGAAAGGGCTGGGTTTACAGCAGCAGAGTGGCTCAATTGCTCTTTATTGCAGTTTTTAGTGAGGGCTAAAAGCAGATGCTGTGTCCTGAGGGGCTGAGCCCAAGCTGAATGGYGAAACTCCAGTAAGGGACTGGATGAAGGGAGGAAGACTCGGGGATAAATGGTAAAACTGCAGCAAAGCAACCCGGGGCTCTGAAGGAGGCACCTGTGATCAAGGACAGATTCCAGCTCTAAGGACTTGTGCGAAAAGACTGTCGGGCTGCTGACAGGAGCAAGTAGGGAGTGACGTCCCCCTCCAGTGTTTTGGAGGGGACCAGTGACCCCCTGCTCTCCACAGCCCCATTGCTGAGAGGCTGCAACTGGCCAGCTGAGTCGCATGGATGGAGCGACTCGAGTGCTCTCGCTCTGCTCCCTGATGAATCCAGTTTCTCATTCCCTCCTTTTGCAGTGCCTCGAGGAAGACCTGAGCAGCAGGGTGACGTCTGGAAGCAGCCATAGGAGTAGAAGGCTGGGAGCAGCTCGGGAAGCGAGCACGCGCCGTGGGATTGTGCTTGGAGAAGGGTGGGAGGCTGCGGGTGGTAGCTCAGAAGCACCAACCAGTCCAACTGCCTCCTCGCGTGGGTCAGGCCTGCGGCAGAGTTTAGGCCCAGCCTGGGACAGGACCAACATATTAGGCTGCTGTAGAGCAGTGGGAGCCCTGTGCACAGGCAACAGCTCTCTGCCTAAGGACAGAGCATCCCTGGCAGGCCCTGATTGTCTTTTACAGGGAAACCTGTGCAGGTGCCAACCATGATATCACAGTCCTGCCACGCCCACCCAAACCAGGCAGGGACATCTGGGCCCCTTAACATTTACCAAGATGATCCCCTCTGAAGAATCACCCCACCCTCAAGTGTTAATCTCTTGCAGGGAGGAACTGCTCCGTGTTTGGAATGGCAGGGCGAACTATTGCACGGGCCCGAGGCCAACATAAAGAACATGAGGCAGGGAAGTGTTTACTAAGCCAAGCTAATATCTGAGCTGTCTGTGAGAAAGTCGGGGTGAGTCCATGAGGGATCCCTGCTGTGCAAAGGCCAAAATGGCGCTCATTTTCTTGCACGGAAGGAGGGCTTTTTCCTCTGTGCTGAGGCAGCACATTCCTGCTGCCTGCCCGCTCCCAGACACGTTCCCGCTTGCAGCGAGGTGTCGGGATTGCTGGGAGCACATGGGTGGTTAAGGGCGCCCCGATCCTGACGTGCTTTTTTCAAAGGCTGAAAACTCTGGTGCTGAGAAGCGTGGCCCAGCAAGATGCTAGAAATAAATGTAAAGATTTAGGGGGGAAAAAAAAATCACAGCTTAGGGCCTGTCTCGATCATCGATTGACTTTGTAGAAAATCTTATTTTTAGTAAAAATCTTAGACTTGCAGTCCTGGGCCAGCAGGAGTAGATGGTGAATGGGAGATGTCCAAGCCTGAATTGTGGCATTTGCTCTCTCTTTCCCGAGCTGTTCAGGGGGAGACCGGACCTGATTCCTAGGGGAATTCTCACATCCAGAGAAGCTGCTGCCAGAACAGAGCTGAGCTCAGAGCTGTTGCTGCTGCCTCTGTGTTACTACTGTGAGCAATCGTGACCCCTTAGATACTGTGTCAGCTCCCTGAGGAGCAGGATGGAACCACTGCCGCCCTTCAAAACAATGGGGGTGGTTCCGGAGCAGAACCTTTGGGGTTTGTGCTATTTGAATAGTGGCTCTACAGGGGCATTAAATCTCCTGCACACGGGCCTGCCATCAGGAAGAGGGGGGTATCTGCTGCTTTAGGCATTTCCTGAATAACAAATCCCTTCTCCAGGACGAGTACCCCTAATGCAGGGTGATGTTTCTTCCCTCTTGAATAGGGAAAAGAAGCTGAGACGGATCAAGAGGCTGTAGCGAAGATGTGAGGAGGACCTATGAGCTGAGCTTCCTCAGATAGCTAGTGTCAGCCTCAGATATCAGCCTTTCAACCTGCATGCCTGGTGGGATGTGTCATTAGATTTTCCAGGGATTTGGGGGATTACTTTCTTTCCTGATCACCAGTAATCTGGACTTCAGTGATGCTTCTTGTCTTGTTAGATGCTGATCCAGGCAGCTTGTCCTGGGTCTGCTGAATCCCATGGCAAATTTCTTCCTGAGTTGAGGAGAAGCCCTGTGGTTAAAGCTAGTGGTATCTTGTCCCTTGGAGCATATACTGCTTTTGGCACTCGTGTACCGGTTATGAGGTGTGCAGAGTTTCTTCTTTTGTTCTGGCACAGCCCTTTATTCTCCAGCATCAGGCAGGAACTTAGTGATTTGTGACATGTGCTTCTAGCTGTGAAGCTGTCCCTGTGTTTCCTCCAAGGACATAAGTGCCCTAAGTTCAGAGAAGGCTCAAGGGGCACTTCTCTTTAAACTGCTCCAGGGCTCTGCCTAGAGAGTTTTGAGGATGTGAGATGTTTTTTCAGAAGCTGGGGTTAGAAGCACTGCTCCCTCCCCCCCCCCCAAAAAAAACCCTGGGTGGTTTTTTTTTTTTTGGGGGGGGGGGAGATTCCTTGAATCTCATGTACTTTTATTTGAAAAGTACATGAGATTCAAGAAGTGAGGCCTGGCTGTGTATTTTATTGGGGATGAGGGAACTGGTGCAGACTGTTTTTCTATATTGTGGGACCGGCTCAGTACTTGCAGGATCTCGCTGAAAGGCAAGCTGAATTGCACAGAATGTATCAGGGACGGTATATGGACCTCTCCCTGCTGTTCTATAAGTGCAGGCGTTACGCAGAGGTTGGTGGAAGTGATTATCCAGCGCATGGGATTGGAAAACCTTGAAACGAGAGCGAGTTCGGGGTTGTCACCTCCCCAGGTATTTGGAGATTGTGAAGCTCCAGGTCATGCAGGCTATGACTGCAAAGGACTCCAATCTTTCAACAAAGGCGGAAATAATCCTTGAGTTTATACTTGCAGGTTGGGAATGTGACTCACCAAAATAGATTTTTTTCCAGTTGACCAGGATGGCTGGGGGATTTGTCTGATTTGCTGGATGCAGGTGGGGACTCGCATAGCAGAAGCAGGAGACTCTGAAAGGAAAAGGTAGCTCATTCCATAAAAAACTGCTGTTCTGTTTCTAGGTTCTTGAAAGTCAGTTTTAACTTGCTTTTTCTCCAGGTGTAAAAGGGACCAGAGAGACTCCCCATTCGTTAGCTATCTAAGTGATCCCATTTACAGCCATCCCAAATAAGTCTGAGGCTCGTCCGTGGCCTGGTGTGTGCACGCAGATCTCCAAATTGACACGGAATGGGAATTCCCACAGCTGGGAGTCAGCACGTTTGGATCTTCCTCCTCCGCCTTGTGGAAGTGTAAACGCTGCCGTAGACCTTTTGCTTCCTTCTCTTCTAAATCCTTGGCTATGGGCTGCTGTCTCATTTTCTTTTGATATTCCCACCTACCACTTTGAGATTTTGAATACCCCAGGGCAGACTTTAGACCCAAAGCTTCTGTCCAGAATGTGCTTGTGTGTGAGAGAGAGTGCACAGATGTCACGAAAACCCCTTTCTCTCTCACGTCTCATCTTTGTGCTAAGCTCAGATATACTGCAAGGCTCTGGATGGGTTTTGTTCTAGTGCAAGCTGCAAAATCGCACGGCTGTGAAGGACAGGGCTCAAAGGACCCAGGAGTTCTGGGATGTGATTGGCAAGTAGGCAAGAAACAGGAACGCCGCTCTGCGGCTTATTAAAGCTCTTGCTTTAATAGCCAGATGAAAAACCTTTCCCAACAGCCTTGCTTGCCTAAAGCTGGTACGTTACAGACAGCTGCACTGCTGCCATGCATTGCAGAGTGCTGAGTTTGGAAGAGTGGAGGAACTGCCCCTGTTTGGCAAGGGGCTCTCGATGGGATAAAGAGCTAGGAGCTGCATATGGAGCACATGAGAAGGCCTAGGTGGAAACCTTTGTCACTTGTTAGATTTATGGGGCAGCCTCATAAAGGCATTTGGAGGCATTTGGCCTCCATATTTTTTACATTAACTCTCAAAGGAAAAGGAGAGAAGTAAATGCATTCCTGTTGCCCAGCCAGGAAAGGATGTCTCTGGAGCAGCAAATCACTCGGCAGGAAAGCTTGGCTTGGAAGTGCAGGCAGTCAGCTCCAGGTCTGCTCCCAGCACACGGAGCAGCGTTCCCGTGTGCCTCCACCTTTCCTTGTTGTTTGCAGCCTGAACGACACCAGGTCGCATGCACAGACAGGCTGCTCTGAGCTCACGCTGTTGTGCTGAGGACCGGCTGTCGCATCACCCGGATGTTATGAGTCTGAAGACCAAAACCCTTTGGATAACTTGAAGGAAAGAAAACTATAAAACGGCTTTATATAAATCCTTTATTGACCTACACTAAGTCTAAGCCCTGGTCCCCGGGGACAAATGCAACTTACCATATTCTACCATCAGTTTTTTTGCAGCATATTAAAAAAGACCATGAAATGATGGGAATGCAGTGTCCGAGTGTGATGTCCCATTCTTATATTCAGAGCAATGCAGGCTTTGTCCTGGGAGCTTTTTCTGTCCGTGTTGCTGAGACTGTAGAGGTAGAAAAAGTGAATTTGGCAGTTTGGCATGTCTTTAAGCAGATAGCACCACTCACTTTTATTCTCTGATTTCACTGCCTGGGGTTTTGTGATAGGAAACAGAAAGGAAGGAGAGTTTATTCTCAGCCCATGCATTGAGGGTGTGGTTAAAATAGCCCCAATCTGGAGTTAATTTATTCCCTTTTGAAGTGAATAAATTCCAGGCCTGAAGAAAATACACTCCTTGTTGGGAGAACATTGTGCCTATGATATTAGCAGGACAAAACATCTAATTATCTTGCTGGAACGCATTTGGGCCTGCCTGCTTAGGAAGATGAATGATGTCGTTGTGCTGGGACTCTGCATTGGGCTGTGTGGGGCCAGGAGACCTCCCAGAGTCTCCTACGCAACAGGCAGGAGGGATCCAGCAACAAAAAATGAAGGTGATGTTTAATTTTTTGCGAAGTTCTTCCTGCTCAAATGTGAGTCAGGTGGGTTGGAGAGAACTGCAGAGAACTACAGTGTCAGCAGGCAAGAAATGTTAGGGGAAGATGCTCCTCTTGCTCCCCAAACCGGCACTATCTGCTCAGCAGAGCGCAGATATCCAGGTGTGTCACGGGAGCGAAGGGAACCAGCCAAGTCGCATCATTGCTTTGGCTGGTGGGCTCAGCAGAGCTCTAGGATTCCCTTAAATGCATTAATCCCAGCATCAGTTGCGTAGGAGCCTGAGCCTCTGGGCTTTAGCACAATGTGTTTATTAAATAAGGATATTAACAGAGAAGGGAGGAATAGATGCAATAATAATGGAGGGCATGGCTGGTGGTTGAGAGAGCATTAATATTTTTTCTTCAGTTTTAATGTTCTTTTTATCTTCTTTGACAGGTTCTGTTGTTAACTTATATTCAGGTGAGTGATATCTTTGTAACCTACCTGTATTCTTTTGTGGTTATGAGAGGGGGCAGGGGGAGGGGGGGAAAAAGCCCCCAACTTCCATGATATGCAATGGGAGTTTTGTGGCTGATTTTAATAGGCATGGACCAAGTTCACCATGAATGGGTGTCTCTGAACTTTGGTATGACAGGGACTGGGAGTAGGAAGCATAGGTTGTCAAGTCAGGTTTAGGATCTTGATAACAGATGTTTGGCATTGTTTCCACTGCATGAAATGAGTGTTTTTATTGACTTCCAACTGTACTTTTTCATGATAAAGAACTACGTTGGTCTTGAAAGTTATTTTCTTTGGGGTGAAAGATGTGAGATTCTAGAGCAGCACCGAGTCCTGCTCTGGTGCCTCCTTCCCATGCCCTTAATCTCCCAGCTCTGTTTTTCTCTCCTTGTCCCTGTCTCAGTGCCAGCCGATGCCTCGAATCCGGCCAGCGTCGTCGTGTCCGTGCTGAACATCAGTGCTGCGCTGGGCTCCCAGGCCGTGCTGCCCTGCAAGAGCTACCGCATGGTGTGGACGCAGGATCGCCTTAACGACCGCCAGCGCGTCGTGCACTGGGACCTCTACAGCAGCTACTACGGCGATAACAAGGTGGAGAGGCTCTGTGACATGTACTCGGCCGGAGACCAACGTGTCTACAGCTCCTACAACCAGGGCAGGATCTTCATGCCCCAGAATGCCTTCACAGATGGCAACTTCTCGCTGGTTATCAAAGGTATTAAGGAGCATCCTCTTTTTTTTTTTTTTTTTTTTTTTCCCCTGTGGAGAGGAAGCTTTATGTCTAAACTCTCTAAACGCTCTATGTCTTGCAGTGCAAGTAGATATTTTTCAGAGTGTTTTCCCCTCCAAAAAACAGCAGATCTGCAGCACTGGCAAAAATGTTTTATTTCCCTTGGAATAATCATGTTTTCAAAAAGGGACTGAGAACAGTTCATTGCCTGAAAACCACCCTCGCTCTTTGTGGACCTTTGACTGTGCCTGAAATGTGAACTCAAGTACCATTTTGCCTTAGCTAAGCCATTCCTGCTCTTAGCTAAACTTCAATCAACTTTCTTCTTCTTTCTGTTAATATAAATATGTACCAAGCAAGAGTAAGTGAACTGAACAAAATATAATATTCTGTCGGATCCTTTGGTATCCGTACAAGCATTTGGGCTTCAGCATAAGTGACAAATGCAATCTTTGCCTAAGCCTGAGCCATTCAGCCTCCTGTCTCTTCTCTGTTGTCCTAGATGTTGCAGAGAGCGATGAAGGCATATATTCCTGCAATCTGCACCATCACTACTGCCACTTATACGAAACTGTGAAAATCCAGCTGGATATCACCAAAAAAGGTAGGGGTGGCAAGCAGCTTATAGCCTGTTTTTTGCAGGTCTTGGGACTCCAGGGGCCATCAGGGCTGTGTTAATTCATAGGGTGACTCGATGGCTGATCCGGGCAGGCCTTGTGTGCTCTCCTAGCCTCCAAGGGGAGCAGTGTGGATCCAGGTCTCTGCTCAGCTGCAGGTTCAGGCCCCAGGTGCTGCAAGAATCCTGTGATGTGTCAGTAGACAGTGGTGCTCACTGCGCACTGTTTGCTCTCAGATTCGCTGAATTTCAGTTGATTCGTTGTGCGTTTATGAACCTCACTCCTTTCTTCTGACCCGTGCCAAGCAATGCAAAGAGGCCTTTAATTTAAATGCCTGAAGTAGGTATCCTGGTTAGTCTGTGATTGCTCTGGCAGTAAAACATGGCTCGCAACATCCATCAGCATTGGGGTTAGCCACAGACATCTCCTCCTAGGTGGTTCCCTGAACTTAGCCCTGGCTCTGTAACTAAGGAGAGGTGCAGAGGTGAGGGCTGAGCTGTCTAAGGAAGCAAAGGGCAGAGCAGAAGTTTCTTCTTCTGCTGCTGCTGTTCTGACAGCTTTGCTGCAAAAAACACCCAGTGCAGCCTGCAAGCCTCATTCTCCTCATTGGGGTTGTGGTTCTTTTATTAATCCTCCACAAGGCCAGAATGCAGAGCAGGGCTCCTGGACTCCTCTAGCAATTACAGCTCTTGTGGGCAGAAAAGCATTTCCTGTACGGAGCCTGCGTAAGCTGTCTGGGCAGCTGGGACGCGCAGAATCGTGAAGCTGAAATCTGTTATTCCCATTCCGTGCTTAGTCTAGAGAAAAAACGCTTCCTGCTTCCTGAAGCTGGAGGCAAACTCTCATTTATAGGGATGGTCTTGTTTAATGCACTGGTCTAGGATGGGGAAGATCCGTGTGTGTTGCTTTCTGTGCTAACTGCTGGTGTGAGCAGAGCACGTTCCCCCTTGAAGCTCTTTGATGTGTTATGGGAATGCAGGTTTGAGGGCAACCTCAGCTGTGTCTTGGTGTTCTTAAGCCTAAGACAAGTGTGTAGGGATGTGTGTGTACCCAGGTGGCACCTGTGTCACCTCCTCAGGCAAGGAGGCCAAGCAGTACTGGGACGGCGAGAAGGCCGTGATCGTGGCCCTGGAGGGCAGCACCGTGACGCTACCCTGCGTGAACCGCAACCACATCTGGACCGAACGGCACAGTGAGGAGGAGCAGCAGGTGGTTCACTGGGACCGGCAGCCCCCCGGCGTGCCTCACGACCGAGCTGACCGCCTCATTGACTTGTACGCGTCCGGCGAGCGCCGTTCCTACGGGCCGCTCTTCCTTCGGCAGAAGATGAACATCACGGACATGGCCTTTGCCGTGGGTGACTTCTCCCTGCGGATCTCGGCGCTGGAGAGCGCCGATGAGGGTACCTACTCCTGCCACCTGCACCACCACTACTGCGGTCTGCATGAGCGGAGGATCTACCAGGTCTTTGTGACAGAACCAGTGAGAGAGAAGAAGGTGATGAACCTCACCACGCACAACACTGCCCCAGCCGCGGGTAAGTGGCTTGTGACGTGGTTGTCCTGCCTGGGGAAGAGAGGAGTGTTTGTGGTTGCACCTTTGAGCAAGGTGGAAGGGCTTGGTTATTTCTAGGCTGCTTCAGCTATTGGAATTGGATCCATAGGTCTAGAGAGGTGAGTAACGATCCTGCAGTTGCATTAACGTTTTGTCCTGGCAGAAGTGGAGCGTCCCCTCATCAGGGCTAACTGCCTAACACTAGGAATTTTCCTCTACCCTTCAGCTTTTTTTTTCCTTGCCTCTTTTTTTTTTCCTTGCCTCTTTTTTTTTT